TTCTTTATTATTGGAATGTCTTCTTTTCTGTATAGATGCCTAGTAAGTGGGATTGCTGGTCAAATGTATTTCTAATTTTGAGCTTTGAAGTATCCTGCAAATCCTCATGGTGTATAATTGCAGCCCACCCGCAGTGGAAGAGTGTTCCAATCTCTCACATCCATGCAGCATTCTCTTTAGGACTTTTGAAAGGGCCATCTCATAACATTGTACAAGTTGATTAGATAGTGATGTGTCAAAGATGCAACATTCGGGCATCAAGATATTGAATATTAAAGGCTCGCACAGGGCAGAACACTGAGAAAAGTAATGTAGAAGATTAACAGATGAAATCCTACATGCTCATGGATTGGTAGCAATCAATAGTTAAATGTCCATACCTACCTAAAAGTGATCAGATATCAATCCTAGAAAATACAACCACATCTTACAATTAGAAAAAAATTCTCATAATGGTTGATCCAACTCCTATGAAGTCTATGAGAATCTTTACATATACCCTGTGGTATGTATGTCTTCTTGAAAAATATCTATTCAGCAGCTTTGCCTCAGTTTTTAATATATTTGGGATGCTTTTTTTTTCTTGGGTCTGAGTTCCTTATATACTGTGATAGTTAGCTACATATCAGATTATATGGTTGCTATATTTGTCCCATTCCATAGTTGTCTCTCCATTTGTTAATTCGTTGCCTTGCTGTGCAGAAACTTTTAGTTTGCCTAAGCCACTGTCATTTGCTTTGTTCCTGTGCTTTGAATGTCTATCTAAAAATATTACTGTCATATCGATGTTGAAGGTTATTACTATGCTTTCTCTAGACTTCACAGTTTCAGGTCTACATTTAAGTATTTAATTCATTTTAGTTACCTTTGTTTACAGTGTAAGATATGGCCAATTTATCTTTTGCATGTGAATGAGTTTTCTAATACCACTGAAGAAACTCTCTTCCCCACTGTTATTCTTGGCCTTTTGAAAATTTTGACCCATATAGCAGGATTATTTTCTTGCCCTGAGTTCTGTGCATGACTATATGTCTGCTTTCATGATACTACTACATTGTTGATTACTGAAGATTTGTCATATAGATTTGAAACAGGAAGGTGATGTACCAACTTTGTTCTCCAAAGATTTCGTTAGCTACTATTTGTGGTTCCATAAAATTTAAATTTTCTGGTTCTGTCTGGTGACAAATGCCAGAGAATTTGATAGGAGTTTATGTTGAATTGTGATTTCTTGAGTAGTATGATCATTTTAACAAATTAACTGCATCCATCCAGAATACAGAATATCTTCCATTATTTGTACCTTCTTATTTTCTTTTCTTTCAAAAGAAAC